GATAAGAATCTCAAGGGCGCCTCAAAACTATAAAAACTGTATAGTTTTTAGGCGCCCTTTAGTTGTAGTTTCGTTGTTTTGAAACAATGAATCTCTTTATCACGTTTCCTAGCTATGGTTCCTACTGTCTAGACGGTAAATGTGCTGCCGCGTAAAATGATGCATTTTTGTTATTCCTTTTGTTCCGAAATATCATTTACTTACTGATATTGCGGCAAGATGATGAGGGTATAAATTTATTCGCTAACCAGCTAAAATAGGCAAATGTGAAAAAGGTTATTACCGGAGTGAGGCTCTTTGAGTCCAATGGACAAGGACGACGAGGCTACAGAAATAACGTGAACGTGAACGTGGAACGTGAACGTGGTGAACGTCGAGTGGAGGGCGTGGCAAATACCTCGTTCTGGCGAATTTCGCGCCAAATTGGATCTGAATGACGTAGGTTGTGACGTCAGGCCCACATAGAATGTTTCATTTCAAGCTTGACTTACCTATTTCCTTTTGTATTTTTTGGCGGTTACGGCGTAAACCAACTGTTGTAACGCTAAACCATTTCGGTTTGTACTAAACCATTTGTCGTCACGCTAAAGCATTTGAGGTCACGCTAAACCATTTCACTTTACAGTGAGGAGATTGATTCGATACTAAACCATTGCGGCTTACGATTAACCATTTGCCGATAACTTAAGCCATTTCACACTACTCTGAACCGTTTGTGTCAAGTCACCAAAGTACAGTTAGCTGAACCGTTTCTCATTTCGACACTGAACCATTTCAGTTAACACTTGGCCACTCGTGTTTTTTCTTGAATCAGTTCAACAAGGTTGGCTACACAGCTGAATTGTATAAACATTTTTGTTTGAATATTTCATTTCACCAAAGGCGACTTGTCCATTTGTATTTGAAATAAATCTCTTAAGATAAGATCAAGAGAAAATCTCCAGGTCTCTGCAGTTATGGTGAAACTTTTGCAAGGGTCTGCTTAGGATCATGCTTATGACCACAAGCACTACGTTAGCAATGACCGAAAAATCAGAATGACCAGTAATCGTCCGTTGTACCTTTGCGGCTGACACCAGTTATTGCCAAGATTTGTGTCACAAAATGCGTCCCAGTTTCATGAAAATAATTTCAATTGCTGACGCATTGAGAAATGAGAAATTTAAGGGCCTTAAACAGCGTCCACGTTAATCATCTGACAGCAGACTTGTAGTTCAGTGAGCTGAGCTTAAAGAAAATCAATTTTGATTTCAATGCGTTCATTCGCCGTTAAGCAAATTCATAAATCTATTCAGCTGGTGTCTACAAATCTTCATTTAAGGTTTAACAGTCAAACTGTCGAACTGAACTGTCAAATCGAAATAGAAGTCAAGCTATCACACGAACGAAAACGGATTTGAAGAGAATTTTGGCAGCTCGTTGAGCCCGTTAAGAGCGTCATGTGGAAGAAAATGTTTAAACGGTTAGTGTTTTAAGTACGTGGTATCTCTGGTTTGTTCTGTTTCATTTCATCAAAAAAAATTAATGCAGAGTCTCGAGTTGATATTAGCTTTCTTATGCAAATATGATACCACTATTAGGATTGGAATCGTTTGTGATGAAGAACAAAAGAAACAGTTTCCTGATCTTAGCTGAACGTCACGTTAAATGTGAAAGTAGGTTACTGGCACATGTCGAATCCAGTGGCACGAATTCCTCGGTATATAGGAAGGTCTTAAGCGCGGTTATTCTTCCGCGATTATTCCACCTTTGTGATAGCATAGTTCTACTGAGGATGAGGATGGAGATTTACAACTGTGTAACTGTGTCTTGTTGAAGGCATTGCTTAGTGTATTGATTTCTTTGTATGATTGGCAAAATGGGAGTAAAATTTATTATCTACAGTAAACGTGAATCGAATTTACATTATTCAGAATTAATAGTGATGTTCGTGAATGATTTTGTTTCAGAAATATTTCCCGCCTTTAAGAGTTTGAAATTTAAAGCCTTAATCAACTCGCCATCTCTGTGTCTTCACGTCAAACGAGTCACGACTGCGCTGGAAAATGCTGCGTTTTCTTTGAACGACGCAAAGGTTTTCATCGAGTATTTAATGAACCTTGGAGAAAGACACAAAGCATGGAAAATTTCGATGTATGTATTCTGTTATGCCGATCAAGGTTACTTAGGGGTAAATATCGTTCTATAGAGCTGTTTAGTTATGTAAACTGCAGTAGCGAGGAGTATAATGCTATCTATGGGTTGATATTGTTGTATAGCGCTGTATCGTGATGTAGAGTGCAGAAGAGTGAAGTATAGTGGTATCTAGGGGTACATATTGTTGTATAGCGCTGTATAGTGATGTAAACTGCAGTAGCGAGAAGTGTAATGCTATCCAGGGGTAGATATTGTTGTATAGATCGTTTTCACTCACGTGACCAATTCCTTGACTACCGTTGCTACGCCGCCATATTGGTGTACCTCAATTGTAAACAAACTAGTAGCGTCCTTCGCGTGGAACATGGTTTTGTGTCTGATCGTTGGTTGTGGCAGCAAAAGTGGACGAGATAAAGGGTTGTACTTTGCAAGGGTGCCTTCTGTGGTCACAAATCAAGGCGAAGAGGCACAGAAACTATCCGAAGAAAGAAGATCGCGCTGGATTTCAGCGATAAGCCGTGACGATCTGACCGAAGAGATCTTAGAAAACGATCGTGTGTGCGAAAAGCATTTTGTTTCAGGAAGGGCAGCTAAGAGCTGGGATAAATTTAATATTGACTGGGTTCCGACATTGCTTTTGGGACACAAGAAAACTACTGATCGAGCAGATCATAAAGAAGCGGCGGCAAAACGAAGCGAGAGAGCGAGGGAACGTGAACTGGTGAAGAAGCCGGCTTTTGAAAAGAGAGAACGAGAGCTAGAACTAGAGCGAACGGCGAAGAGACAGAAACTTAATGAGCCCGGTGAACAGGTTTCAAACCTCAGCTTTGAAGGAAATGAGGACGAAGAGAAAAAATTAACAGTTGAAGCTGGCACACAAACTGAAGAGTTTGAATATTTATTCAGCTCTCTAAACATTGACCGGAAACCATTTGATCGGTGGGAATTTGTACAAAACGAAGAAAAAGTTAAATTCTACACTGGATTGCCTTCCTTCGATATCCTGCAAAATGTTTTCGAACATGTTTCTCCGTTTGTTGCTTACAAGTCCCAGAATCTGACCACATTTCAAGAGTTTGTCATGACTTTGATAAAACTTAAACTTGACGCACGACATCAAGATCTTTCATATCGCTTTAATGTTTCCCTTTCAACAGTTTCAAGGATTTTTTCATCCTGGATGGTAGCGCTAGATGTACGCCTGGCTCCACTTATCAACTGGCCTGAACGTGAGGCTTTATGGCGAACTATGCCACAGTGTTTTAAATATTCATTTGGAAACAAAACTATCGTGATTATTGATTGTTTCGAAGTATTTATTAATAGACCATCAAATCTGCTCGCAAGAGCACAGACATGGTCATCGTACAAACACCATAACACTGTTAAGGTGCTGATTGGGATAACTCCACAAGGTACAATCTCCTATGTTTCCCAAGCTTGGGGAGGACGAACATCAGACAAATATTTAACTGAGAACTGTGGAATTTTAAATAAGTTGTTGCCTGGGGATCTGGTCTTGGCTGACCGTGGTTTCACCATCGCAGAGAGTGTTATGTTTCGGCAAGCACAACTAGCCATCCCTGCTTTCACAAAGGGAAAAGACCAGCTTGACCCTGTGGATGTTGAAAAACTAGGGGATCGCAAATGTTCGCATTCATGTCGAAAGGGTTATTGGCCTCCTTCGCCGAAAGTAATCGATATTGTCTGGAATTCTGCCAATTGATTTCTTAATTTCCAACCCTGGTGGCTCTCAGGAAGAAGCAACACCAGTGATTGACAGGATTATTAATGTATCTGCAGCTCTTGTTAATTTGTGCCCAGGCATTGTACCACTTGACTGAAATGGCAGCAAAAGTTAAAGGAGCCTAGTCAGCCCCCCACTTCAATGCTCTCGACATAATGCACATCGTATAGTGGAGCAAAATACTAAAAGTCTGTTTAACTGCCTTTAGTAGTTTCTCAGTAATCTCTCCTTGATTGGCTGACTGGGGTCCTTTAAAGCATTATGATAAACTAGCAGTACATTCTTTGTGACATAGAGTGTGATCGCAGAGACAAAAGACTCTAGCTGTTCTTCATTTTCATGAACCACAGTTGTACAGTTGCAACCGAGTAATGAGCAATTTTATAATTACTAGTAATTAGGGTGATTGGAAACCTGTCATACGTATTGGTGTTTACATGGTGTTATGTAATTGAATGAGGCATCGCATGCGCTTGTCATTGAAATATATATGTAAAATCATATATGTAACTGAAACTTACAGTGACAACCATGGGTACCTAAAATGACTTCCCCATTATTCTGACAATTTTCTTCTGGCTCTCTTACATTTAACTCAAGTCAAAATGGGATTTATCAAATCTGCTTTACTCTTTCTTTCAACCTAGTTTGTAAGAGTTTTTTAAAACTTGAAAGCAATAGGTAGCTGTTAATAGAAAGTTTTTAAAAAGATGAGACAATGAAAGTTGTTGTAAACTTTGTCAGGTGGCCAGGGTTAAGACCTGCTCAAATGTAAACTAACCTTCTAAAGCCACATGTCAGTTACATATTAAAAATCATAACTTAGTACAGTTTTGTAGCTGATGACCAAGTGTACTTAGTAAGAAATTCAAGTGGTAGGGAACAACTGCATCATGCCAGTTCTCAGACATCTATGCAAGTGTTGGCGCATCCTAGGAATGTCAAAAATCACATTACATGGATTTTGTCCATAAACAAGACATGTTGCAAAGGCTATGGCAAACACTCCGCAGTCACTGACATTCATTTGCTGCTGTACTGGGATGTTAGAAATGCCCTGAAAGTTTGGACCAAGCAAAGCCTCTACCAGTTCCTTAAGTTCCTTTGAAATTACTGGCTTAGTAAGGTTGGGGCAGTACCATGTTTTAGGTATGCTGCAAATACTTAAGCATGACAAATGGAACTTCAAAATAGGACAATTAGCATTACAGCAGCTTACTGTGTCTTCAGCTGTCACAGTTCGGCAAAAGCAAACAGAATGGGCTTCCATTGGCTTAACATCACCAAAGTCATGTTTCCTAGTGTACCATCTCCCTAAAACTTCGGGTAATATGCAAGTCCTCCAAAACCTGGTCAGTTTAGGTAAAACAGCTTCCCAATGATCTTTGTCAGGGAAATGCCTTTGTGTTACTAGCTTTGCCTCTCCCACATGTCCAAATGCACACACTATAAAGTCACAATATAGCCTCTTGCATGTAAACAACTGTTGTTGTATTTGAAAATAATACTGATGGTTTGTCTTTAAACTGAAATTTCCAGTGCCTATTTTTTCCAGACAGGAAGATGGTTTCATTACATAGTTATCAAAATCACAATTCTCAATGCAAAGGGGGCATTTCACCTTGCCACACCCTTCTCCACAACAGTCGCATGAACATAAGAAATTGGGAGTTGCATGCAGCCATGGATATTCTTCGTTTATTATAAGGCCACATTTCTCAATTTTGAAGTTGATATGTTCCTTCTTCATTATCTCTTCATAAGCACTAATTGCTTCCTGTTCATGTTGACACCCATGAATTATAGCTTTGGTGTTCAGTTTATTTAATTCAGGATAGCAGATAGACTGAATGAGTGACTGGGATGGCATGGCTGGATTTGTCTGACAAGCAGCCTTACTCTGGGAGGCCCCGATTCTTCCAGCTCTATGTCTGAAGAAACTGTTACCCTTCGCTTGTGCGACAGTATCTCTCTTAACTTGTAAGATTTGTTCTTTTGTAATCTCAATATCTACTTCTTGTGACAAGCTTTTAATAACTCAGGATAACTCAGAGCGAGGTACTTCTTATCAAACAGATCGCTAATTGTAGGTACGCAGCGACTTTTGAGGATTTAGCTGTCTGCATACTCGGGTATTAAGCTTAGAGCGATGGGCCTGCTACTAGACTTACTAAGTTTAGCATAAAAGGTATCCATTTCCGGTTTTGAGGGAACAGGGATCTCCTTTGACACGTTTCCTTTAGCAGAGTTATCAAGGCTGGAAACATTGGAGAGGTTCTCAATCTTGGCATCTAAATCGTTTTTCATTTTCCTTGCGGATGTAAAGTTTATTTCTCGCACCTTTTCATATTCTACTTGTTTGACGTAGGTAGGTAAAAGCTACGAGCACTTCACTTGCGTGCAGGCAAGTCTGCCATTTATTTTTGTCCACGCTCCCAGATAAAATAGCACGCTTGCTATTTGCGAACAGGTTTCTGCCAGGCCAGCCTTGCAACCTAAGCAGTGTGCAAACAAAATTGTTCCTTCTCTTTCCGTGATAACCCAACATGAAATAAGAGAGTCGTTCATACGCTGGGAATGTCTCACCTTTGCTAAAACAAGAAACTTGTCGGCGATTATGTGGCCTTGCACGCTTGCGATAAAACCAGAGACCATTTGGTTATATGCTTCAAGACTTCGGAAAGCTTTAAACTGTTTCTGAGAGTAGAAACTTGTCTCCAAGACAAGATAACACAAAATATCTGTGGATTCAACAGGAGGCAAACAGTCCGGCTTAAAGTCCTTCCTTTCGACTAAAACTGGATCAATTCCAATTGCCGCTATTTTCTGTAAATATCGATCTCTGACTGGAAAATCCAGCTGCTTCGCGTATTCGGATATCGGAAAAGAATAGTCGACCTCGCTTTTGTTCTGGGACTCTTTTTCTTTCTCTTTTGAATCCATTTTACTTGTGGGAATGATCGTTGTGGAAAAATTACGGGGATTACGCAATCGAAAGTGGTACACCAATATGGCCGACCGGAAATGATTTGACGTCACGTGAAAACGATCTATAGCGCTTTATAGTGATGTAAACTGCAGAAGAGAGAAGTATAGTACTATTTAAGGGTACATGTTGTTTTATAGCGCTGTATTGTGATGTAAATTGTGGAAGAGGGAAGTATAGTGCTATCTAGGGGTACTTGTTGCTTTTTATGATCCATCAAATATCTTTGCTCGCGCGCAATTGGTGTAAACGCAGTAAGTGACTAAATATCCCCCAGCTAATACTGGGTGATATCCGAGAATATCACGCAAGCGATATTCCCCAATTCATAAACCTGACTTCTACCTCGATAAGTCTTCGTTTCAAATTTAATTCAATTCAGTGAGCTGTTCATAAAGATTCTTTCACGAGCGTTGCAAAATAATTCAAGGATAAAAATCACAATAGCCTCTATTTTGCACGAAAATATGTTCGGATATTTGTCCTTGGCATCTTGGAATAGATAATGTTCGCGGACAAATATCCACAATTATTTTCGTGCCAAATTGGAGCAATAGTTTATAGAGCGCTGTATGCTGAAAAAAATTCAGTAGAGGGAAGCACAGTACTATTTAGGGGTTCATATTGTTGTGAGGCGCTGCACAGTTACTTCATTTTACGGATTTACAGTGCTACTCCGGGGTATAATGTTGTATTGTGCTGTATAATTTTAAAAGTTGCAATAAAGGGATATATAGTGCTATTTAGGGGAGGAGAAGAGGGGCATATAGGCGTACGTATTCGAGGAGTTTGTTCTACAACGTAAGGAGACATGGAGTCTAATAATCGACGGAACGTGTTTGCTCCTAATGAATCTCTCGGGCTGTTATCGACTACCTCTTAGGAAGCATTACAATAACTTAACCTTTCTTGATTATTGTCTTGTCAAAACACTTTTTCAAGGTCCTCTCTGCGTCTACATCCAAGATGACGGCTACCGACTCGGAGAAGTCTGTGGATTGGCCTGCTGCCATCTTGGACTCGCGATGTAGGTGGACCCTGGGCGAGAGTATGATCCATTCCCAATCAGATGATAGAAGAAGCCTTAATTTGGACATTGAAGGACTCTTTTCCAACAAAATGCATCGATTATGTCGCAGAGACTTGGAGGGAGCTCTTTCGTTTTATAGCTGCTACTGTGATGAGAGGACCGAGGAGAGCAAACACTGGCAAGTGAGACTTAAAATTGAGACCCCCTGTGGACTGGGAATGAGTCGAAAGGAAAACTAAGATTTTACTAGACATGATGCAAAGAGGACACCATCCTAAAGTGAACAAAATAAGCATAATAACAACTACTCTGGGGAAGTAAGGAGGTATATGAGTTGTAAGAGACCTGACGTTGCGCGAGGATTGAGACGAATGAAAACTGAAACAGACAAGGAGATAAACGCGTCTAATGAAGCGCGTAGAAGAATAAAGTTGAGGGCGATGAAAGAAGTGCGCGTAAAAAATGGAATAAAGGAAAAGTACGATGAAAAAAAAAGGAAGGAACAAAAGAAGGAAAAAAGAGATGCACAAATGTGAAAAGGTGTAAAAAGGTAAAAAGGGCGCACACAGGTAACAGTATGAACACGTCCTTCGGCATTCAAAATCGTGTGACAATATGGAGAACGATAGACAGTGAAAGAGACACAATCGAAGAGTCGACGAGCGTTTGTTGAGTGGGTGGGGGCTTGAAACATGGAATGTCAGTACACTGTCAACTGCAAAGATTATCAACTTGGCGCGCGCGGGTCAAAACAAGCATTGAAGCCCCTGTAGGATCTGTTCTCCTGCATCTCACGCGAATCCTTAGAATATGGAGACAGACAATGAAAACAAAGGCAGTTTTTGTATTTTATACACTCTCTATTTCTCTTACACAAAAAAGTAAAAAAAAGTACAATACAAACTGCATTAAATTGTTCAAGGCATTAAGTAAAGTACGCGCTAAACGAAGACACTAAAATGAACCCATTTATTCCCAAGATTGATCATAACTTAAATTCTCCTCACAAAATTAATGCACCGACAAACATGGTGTCAATAAGAATTAGAGAAAATCTAAACTAGCGGATTATTTTTCACTAGAAACGTTATGTTTTATCGAATTCTCAGAATGAAGCAACAAAGAAACACATTCTTATCAGTTGGGAGAATTTTTCTTCACAACTTGGGAGTTAATGAGTCAATGAATAAAAACTAAGGTAAATGGACAAAAAGCTTCAACTTTAAGTACAAATAGCATCAAAACAATTCACACGAAATACACTGACATTATAAAAAGCATATTTAGTTAAAACTGTCCCAGCTTGTTGTTAAAATCCTACGTTACATCATATTCAACCATGTGCGAGGTTAACTATTACATTTTATACCAGCATATACCAATGGTAGTTATGAAAATCCGTCAAAAATTAACATTGATTTTACAAAAGTTTCTTTTAAAACAGCTGTGATACAGTATACCTTAAACTTTTGACCACATAACGGGTTCTAATTACAAAGCGTGCTCTGAATACCTAAGTATAAATTCTTAAATCTAAGAAAGATATCATCAGACATCTCCAAATTATACTAAGGTAAATTTAAAGCCATGAAAAAAATTTGAACAGGAAATTTTCAAAAAAATGCAAGTTTTATCCTGAAGCCCTGAACCTTTTTAACTACGGCCTAGATTTACATTTATTCATGAACATTTTCACCAAAATAATTCCCATTGAGGACAACATGGCTTACTTCAAGTGTTTCCCTAATTTATTGGCGTAAATATTTTCCTAATGAAAACAACAAATTCCATGTCACCTACATTAAAAGTCACAGTAATGGAAACTTCAGTTAAAATAAACTCTGCTTCGCTATTTTCTTGTTTAGATTACACGCACAATTTGTCTCTGTCGTCGTTCTCTAAAAAACAAACTGATGAGTGTTTAATAAAACGGACTAAAACTGATCAAACTCGTTTGATTGAAAGCAGGCCGTTGTAGCCAGCTCTTTGACTTGTTGTAGGCCTTTTTCCTGAGAAATTTCAATTTTTGTTTCAACATTTGTAAGAGTCATATTAGAAAAGTCAAGCGGGCGGAAAACAATTGTAGGCCGGGCTCACGGGACTAGAGGCTGGCCACACCCCTGAGAGTAGGTCTAATGTCTCTAACATATGGTTAGTAAATTCAACAACATCATCTCTGGTGATTACTTCTTCAAATTAAGCTTAGAATGGCAATCTTGGCACTGATGGAATTAGATTGAAAAAAAGTTGAAAATGATAATCAACTTTTTTGTAAAGATAATTGCAAATTGCAACAAAGTAATTTATGACGTAGAAAAACCATTAAGATCAATTCACATATGCCTGAGAATTTTGCAAATCACATTTTTGAAATTAAAATTTCGCCACCTTTTGCAAATTACAAGCTGTTTCTTTGCTTATCAAAAGCTTAGAGTATCTACGTAATTAAAACCCGGTGGACAAGCTCTTGGTTGTGTACAAGAAAAAAACCTTTTAATTATTTTACACATAACTGATTGCAATAAAGGAACAGATCCGAGTGTCATTTTGGCGAAACGAAAACCTCGTAGTCGCCTTCAACAACTTCAGGCATTAACAGCAGAAGCCTTGTTGCATCTTGTTCTCTTCGCAAGCACCTAAATTTGTAAAGGTAAAAAAATAGCAATTCCACTGAACAAAATATTCTGAAATAGTCTGTTTTATTTCTTCACCAAAGTAAAGTCACACATCTCAAGTTCCATTTAACAAAAAAAGTGAAAAGTAATGAAAAATAGCCAAAAAGCGCCAAAATAGAGAAGCATTTAAACCTTCCAAGTTCCTGCGTCATTCATTTTGAGATGAACTAAAAAGTTTT